ACGTGTCAGTCGCCGGAGTTTGCAGCTTGGCCGGTCGATCGTCTCCGCTCTCGCCCTTAACTCCCCCGCTAAAGGAAGCGGTCAAGCCTCGCAAGGAAAGGAACGTGGAACCCCCCGCAAGGGAACAACCACACCCCAAGTCGATCAAGATCGACAACCTACCTGGCGCGTAGCCTGCAGAGTATCCACGCTACGCAGATCCCACCATACTGCGTCCCGCCAAGACGGAACCAGCTCAGGCCAAGCCTCTCATCGAGTCCACCAGAGGAGTGTAACCAGCCCAGCCAACGGGTACTCAAGGTGAGCCCTCAGCAACCCCACTGTTATCGGAGTACCCCCTCCGTTAGTCGGCAGTCCAGGGCACTGTGTGTCTGAGTGGATCGCGACGTGATTTTGCGACCCCCACTCCACCACACCTGTTCACGGCCACTCCGGTCCAGAAGCTAGAAGTTCACGTGGCCACCTCAGGTATGCCTCCTGCTAGAGTCCTCTTGCACAAAGACTTGGTCATCCTAACATTCGTGTCTTACAGGCAGTTACAAAAGGCCAAGCACTCCAAGGACTCGCCGCTAACACCGTAGTTCCCAAATACAGTTTCCATTGCTCTGCATGTACTTACGCAAAGTCACACCGCGCTGCATTTCCTTCTAATAGACGTGTTGAACGTGCTTCACAACCTTTGCAAAATGTCCATTCTGATATCTGTGGGCCACTCCCCGTTCCTAGCCTCAGTGGCTGTCGCTACTTTGTTGTATTTACTGATGACTTTACGCGCTACATGTTTGTGTACCCTTCCAAGCTCGCAGCCGACTCTACTCTTGCTACGAAGACTTTAGGAAGAAAGCCCTGAATACGCTAGAGTATCCATGATCCACCTCGGACTTGGATGTTCAAGTGCTGCAAGCTGATAATGCAAAGGAGTATGAGAAGCTGGGTCGCATAGTTTTGAAGCGGTACGGAACACACGCAATTTACAAATGCTTACACACCACAATAAAATGTTGTCGCCGAGCGACGTATGCGCACGATCATGGAAGCCGTTCGTGCCTCTCACTTGATCCAAAGCTACCCAAGACACTATGGGCTGAATGGGTTAGTCACGTGACTACACTTCTTAACATGACACCCAGTGAAAACAGTACACATGTCCGTACGAGCTGTGGTACAATCGTAAGCCAAGCGTTCAGTACCTGAATGTCTTTGGGTGCGCAGCGTACGCCCACATCAATGACATCTACAGGGATAAGCCATATGCACGAGCAAAACTCTGTCTATACCTCGGTATTTCAAGCCACTAGAAGGGGTATAGTCTCATGGACGTTTCGATACGAGCCATAGTTTACAGCCGTGACGTCGTACCTGCTTAAAAAGCGTCGCCAGCGTACGCTGTTGATGAAGCAATTGTATAGATAAGAAGCGTACTCAGCATCATGGCTGTTAATCAGCTCACTCGACCTGCACCTGCTGCAACTTGGGCGGCGTCCTGGGCCTGACCTGCACGTGCTGATCCGTTAAAGTCCTGGCGCTGACCTTCACTTGCCGCTGGCCTGAGCTCTTGTCGCCACCTGACATCTTGTCCACCTCCATGGTACGCGCCATGGCTGTTCAGGGCTAAAGCAACTCATTTCGTACCCTACTGCGACGCCCTCATATCGCAGCATCAAGCTCACGAAAGCCATGGAGCCTCAGATCCAAGAAGAAAGGGCAGGCAATGAAAAAAATTCCATACAGAGAAGTCGTAGGCAGTCTAATGTACCTACTCGCCCCGATCTAGCATGCTACATGCGTGAAGTCAGCCTATCCCTAGTAAATCCTGGAAAGGAACACTGAAAAGCAGTGGTAAGAGGCCTAAAATATATATCTGGCACGACTGACCAAGGTCTGCTACTTGGTGGATCAACGTCAATTGATGCTAGTAACCTAACTGATCATTTGACAGACTACACAGACTCTACTCTGACTATGGTAATTGTCCTGACACTAGAAGGTCAGTTGGCGGTTACGTCACGATGATCGGGACAAGTCCCACCTGATGGCTTTCGAGGAAGCACCATACTGTCATGCTCTCGACTACAGAGGCTGAGCTTGCCTTATGCCATTGTATGCAAAAGGTCAACTTCCTCAAACTGCTACTCAAAGAGCTAGGTTTCTGGACAACCACAACCAATGTTATCAAAGAGAACAATCAAATCTGCATCAAAATCGCTAGTAACCCGGATCTACGCGGACGATCAAAGCATATTGATATCCGTTGCCATTTTGCTCAGGAAAAGGTAGAACGACAAAAATTCAGCGTAGTTTACTGCAACACTAAATCATTGGTAGCAGACATCTTTACCAAGTCACTTCACAAGCATCAGCTCCGGAATTTAAGAAGACAATTAGGAATGCAATCAGCTTGCGTTGGCGTCAATAAGCGTCGGAACTGTCCTTCTCGCCCACTGCAGAAAGTCGTCCGGACGCCCAGCCATCACCCACATATTCACCATGAGCATAGCATAGCCAATGATGTCCTCCTTGAGCGATTCCTTCGGATCCCAGGTGGGGTCCCAGCTCTCCGTCCCCTTGTAGCCATAAGGCTTCCTCCAGACGACTTGGTACTTGGTACCTTTCACCGTATCCTTGAGATCCGAGAGGTATGCCACGGGCCAAGTCTCAACTTGAGCCTGTTCCTCCGGAGGCGTCGTAGCGCTGAGCCGGTAGCGGCAATGGATCGGGCGTGTCGTCGATATTCTCAAGGGTTGGAAAGCCGTCTTCCATCAAGAACCGGGGCAACCACAATGCACCGCAATAATTAATTTATCGCAGTCACAGACAGCCTGCATTGACACTGAGTATCTACAAGAGAAACTAGTTTTAATATCAATCCCACACTCATTAGCTTACCTTTTTTGGTCCCTGTAGCTGCTTTCGTCTACAGCGGAGCGTTGTGAGAGCGGCAATGCCGTTCCGTCGATAAATCCAACGCAGCCCGGGAAGCCCTCTGCAGTCATCACAACTGAAATTTCACGTCTTCTATCTGGAGAAGGCCATGATATCCACTGTGTGCGTACTGCTTTGGGAGCGTGTAAAACTCGAGTAGTATAAATGACGACTGATCCAGTAGCTATACGAAATCGTCAGTGAAATTCGCCGACGCTCGCGGCGTTTCCTTTTCACCGAGGCGGGCGAGTGTGACGGCGAGCTGTATGCACACAGGCCTCTTTTTATGATCTGCCGAGTAAAAAATGTCCTTGTGGTAGATATAGTCATGGAGAGCACCGAACGAAAACTTGGAAACCCGGGTCAACTGTCGAAAATCGATGTCTGGTAATGCCATTAAGGCATCAAACTCGACGCC